AAGAAATAAAGCAATTCTGGTCAAGCTTTCTATCAACACCAGCAGACCAGCTATTAGAGAAATTTGCATCTCAGAACCAAGAGAAGAGAGTGCAAGACCCACATACTGGAGCAGACTCTTCTAGTCAAGCAAGTACCAGTAAACAGATTATTAGCCCTAAGCCGACACAGTCAACTTCGACTAGGAGCAGGTATTTCGACGCAAGTGAAGCCATAGAGCAAGAAGTTCTGGACCACGAAGTAGCTCCCGGCAATACAGAGAACCTAAAGGAAGTAGGACAAGTTCCCTCATTGAACACAAGTATAATGAACGAAGCACAAGAAGTACCTATACCCACGGATCCAGGTGCCGAGCCCCACCACATAGGTGACACAGCGGCACTAGCCCTGCAAGAAGTACACCACCTCTGGGACCAGCTCAATACTCAACTCCCATCAGAAATGCATAAGGTCTATGTTGCCCAGGACAAGATTCAAGAACAAGTAACGACCTTGTCGTCTACTATGTCGCATGTAGTAAGCAAGTTACAAGAGATCACAGCAAACTAAGAAAAGGTGACACAAGTAATGTTGGACAAGGCGCAGCATGAGAACCCCATAGGAAAAAAGGCGCACAGATCCCACGGTCAGGGCACCCGATCTACATAGGCATATGATGATCCTTCTGACTCCGATAAGGACTCATCTTCATCATCTGATGATGATGCCTCAGACCCAGGGATGGAACAGGTGAACAAGTCCTCAGACGAAGACTCCACTGGTGAGGGTGACGGCAAGCAAGGATCCCACTCACACTCACGCAGCCCTTACAAGTTCAAGCCACCAGAAGAAAAGTACTCAGGTAGCCCCTATAAGATCGAATCCTGGCTATTCAACCTCGAGGAGTATTTTACCAAGGCCAACATCAAGAAGAATATGTGTGTCGCCATCGCAACAAGTCAAATGGTAGATGATGCGACCCTATGGTGGCGTATGTTAAGACAAGCAGACCAGGCCCCTAAAACATGGCATAAATTCAAGAAGGCGATTCGCGAACGATTCTTACCATTGAATGTCTATAAGACCAATCGCCAACGACTCGAGTCCTGTCGCCAAGTTGGTAGCGTGACAAAGTATAACTCGGCATTCCAAGCTGCATTTGTTGAGTGCACTGACGTGAGTGAGGCAGAAGCGCTCAGCCGTTATGTCAATAATCTCAAGAGCCAAACCAAGAAGTATGTCGAACTCGAGGAACCCAAGACTCTTCGCAAGGCAATGAAGCTTGCTGAGAACTATGACAATGCCAGTTTCAGTACCCAAGGTAGCCAACACCACACGTCACATAAGAATAGCTCACCTGGTAAGAAGTTCAAGAAGCACTTTGGCTCCCGCCATTTCAAGGACCGCTCTCAAACATTCAAGAATGACCCCATGGATGTGGACCAGACTGAACGGATTCCCACTAAGCTTACCTGGGAGCAAGCTCGTAAGGAAGGTCGTTGCCAATACTGTGGCTCTAAGGAACATATCAAGAAGGAGTGCCATCTTCGCTCCATGTTCCACCCAAAAAACTAAATTTGTCAGTACGTAACACGCCACCAGGTCGTGCTGACAAACAAGATATAAACCCTGGCAAGGATCCTGACAAGAGTCCTAACAACTGTACAAGGCTCGAGGACAATTCGGCACAAGGCATAAATAGCGAACAGAGTAGTGATCATCGCCATCAAACAATAAGAATTACCGGACATTGTCAATCTTATCCCTGTTGTTTTTTGCTTGATTCTGGTGCTACCCACAATTTTGTCTCCTTGGACTTCATCAATAAGCATGGCCTCCAAGATTTGCTTAAATCAGATACTGGGTCGATCACATTTGGCAATGCATCTCAGGCAACATCTACCTACTTTGCAGACCTGAAGATCACCCTAGGCCCAAGTTCTTCGCGCTTATACAGGCATCAAGAGCTCTAAGCACGACCTTATCTTAGGCAAGCCATGGCACTTCAATGAAGAACCCCAGATTAATTGGCGATCACATAAGGTTGTTGTGGCGGGGGAGGAGATCCTAGCTCAAGGACATACTGGACCCCATCAAGTGACCCCAGAAGTACAATTTATCTCGCGCCGACAATTTAACCGCTTATGCCGATGGAACGAACTCGAACTATACGCACTTATACTGACAGATTGCAAGGATGAAGGAATGGATACAAGGAAGGCAGCTCAAGGAGCTGAAATGCATAGCTCCAATGCTCTACTCAGGCTAGTTGACTCGTATGCTGATGTGTTCCCTGCGGAATTGCCCTCAGGACTACCACCACAAAGACACGTCGATCATACTATTCCAATGGAACCTGATGCTAAGATCCCAGCACAGAAGCTTTACCGGCTCTCTAGTCACGAATTGGGTGAACTCAAGAAGCAACTTGACGAGTTAATCGCCAAAGGATGGATCGAGCCAAGCAAGTCACCCTATGGCGCCCCGGTACTATTTGTTGCCAAGAAGGATGGAAGCTTACGAATGGTTACGGACTACCGTGCATTGAACTCAACAACGATCAAGGATGTTTACCCACTACCTCGCACAGAAGAACTGCTCGACCAATTACAAGGTGCCAAGATATTCAGCAAACTAGACCTACGTTCCAGATACCACCAGATTCGTGTGGACCCCAAGGACATTCATAAAACGGCGTTTATGACCTGATACAGACTATATCAGTATACTGTCTTACCGTTTGGATTGACTTCGGCTCCCGCGACCTTTATGCGCTTGATGAATGATATCTTTAGAGACCTCTTAGATGTCTGCGTCATTATTTACTTGGATGACATTTTGGTATATTCTATGTCCGAACAAGAGCACAAGGAACACCTGCAAATGGTTTTGGAGCGTTTACGTGAGCACAAGCTATATGCCAAGTTGGAAAAATGCGAGTTTGGTGTCAAGTGGCTTGAATTCCTAGGACACTATGTTGATGAACAAGGTTTACATACCGACCCAAGCAAGGTCCAAGCGGTTGTGGATTGGCCACCACTCCATAATATCAAGGATATCCAATGCTTCCTCGGTTTGGTGAATTACTACAATCGGTTCATCAAGGGTTATTCAAGCATCGTACACCCCCTGACTCGGTTGCTACGCAAGGATACTCTATGGCAATGGACCAAGAAAGAACAACATGCTTTTGATACACTGAAACAAAGTTTGGTTTCTGCGCCAGTGCTGGCACTGCTGGACCCAACGAAACGTTTCTTTGTCCATACCGATGCATCATCAACTGTAGCAATTGGAGGTATTCTATCGCAAGAACAAGAAGATGGGAAGCTGCACCCTATAGCTTATACATCAAGATCTATGACCCCAGCTGAGTTGAACTATTCCGTTTATGAGTAAGAAATGTTGGCGCTCAAGCATTGTTTACTGAAATGGCGTCATCATTTGGATATGCAGAAGTTTACTGTTTTTACAGACAACCGGGCACTATCATCTCTCAAGACCAATACCAATCTGAATAAACGACAAATTCATTGGTTAGAGACATTTATGTCCTTCTCTTGGGATGTCCATCATATCCCCGAGAAAAGAATCATGGGGCCAATGCTTTGAGCAAGCATCCTCCATCAAAACCGTCGAACCCAGATGCCAACAAGGAGTTACAAGAAGTCTACCGGGTCCAAAAGCAAGATACTATAGAAGCCGAGATCAAGGACAAGTACGACAAGGACGAGTACACTAAGGATCTTTGGGACAAGCTCCGTTGTGGCATCGATGTACGAAACATCACGTTAGTAGACCAGTGGTTGTACCGCCATCCTGAAGGAAAAGATCATCGTCAGCTGTAGTACCAAGGATGCCACAGATCCTGAAAGACATTTTGTATGATACCCATGATGCACCATCAGCAGGCCACCGAGGAATAGATGCAACTATTGAAAGGATTGAACGCCAATTCTATTGGCCCAACATCGCCAAGTCGGTTCGTCAATACATTGGTGCTTGTGACAGCTGTCAAAGGAACAAGGGTACCAACAAGAAGCCAGGAGGTTTGATCCAGCCATTGGAACCAGCCCAAGGTCGATGGGAATCGATATCAATGGACTTCATAACCCAGTTACCAGTAACCAAGAATGGGTATGATGCCATCATGGTGATTGTCGATCGATTTTCCAAGAGAGCACATTTCGCACCATGCTACACAACAGATACAGCCGAAGATGTAGCACATCTATTTTTACGAGAAATATATCGCCAACATGGGTTCCCCAAGGAAGTGGTATCGGATCGTGACCCGAAGTTTACATCAAGGTTTTGGAAGGCATTATTCGAACAGTTACAGATCAAGCGTAAACTGTCAACCGCGCGACATGCAGAAACTGATGGTAAAACCGAAAGAGTGAACCGAATACTTGAAGATCTTTTACGCCATTATGTTGCATTCGATCAATAGGATTGGGATGTATGGCTACCAGTTGTGGAGCATACATACAACAATACATACAAGCGTCAATCAAGATGACTCCATATTACTGTGACTTAGGTCGTCATGTCCTCACCCCAAGTTACCTGGAATCTAACTCAAGTAACGAAGCTGTGGCGCACCTCGAGTCAAGACTCAAGACGATCGGTGAACACGTAACTGACAATATCAAGGCTGCTGCAGCCAGGCAAGAGCAGTATGCCAACCCACATAGGCGTGATGTTGAATTCGAAGTTGGACAAGAAGTACTTGTGGATCAACTATACCTAAATCCACATAACTTCCCACGATCAGCCAAGAAGAAGCTTGCAGCCAAGTACGCAGGTCCCTATAAGATTACTGAACGCATTGGCAAGGTATCTTATCGTCTCGAGCTCCCAACAAATATCAAGGCACACAATGTATTTCATGTTCGAACGCTCAAGCCGTACACTCAAAGTCAAGACCACCGGACCCCGGCACGACCACCACCTTTAGTTATTGAAGGCGAACCCGAGTATGAAGTTGAAGCTATCATTGACAAGAGAACTTACAAACGACGCATCGAGTATCTAGTCAAATGGTTAGGCTATCCAATTCATGATGCTACATGGGAACCACTCAAGAACTTGGACAATTGTCAAGTTTTTATTCAAAACTATGAAGATAGACTTCACAAAGGAACTACATCAACCACACCATCATCGACCCAAGACAGGCGATACGGCATACCAGGTGGCAGCATCAGGACACCAAGGGCCGACCCAAACGATCTTGATCCTGTAAACCAGGGAAGAGGTCCACATGATGTGGAGGGGAGGGATACCTGGATTTTGCTGTTGCTGTTGCTGGTGAACACTAGGAGACCTAGGGTCTTGTGGTTGCTTCAAATGGTCCACCCCAGGCGATGTCACAGGAGACATAGAATCCGAACGAGCAGACCTAGGGGAGCTTGGCAGAGACACCAAGGGAGTAGGAGGGGTATGCCCTGTGGTAGTAACCTCAGGTGCACCCAAGGAGCCCTCAAGAGGTGACATGGACCAAGGCGGAGCTGGTAGTCAGTTTCATCACTAGCCAGCTCATCTACCTCTTCAGCATACTCAACCTCATCATCAGTCTCTACCAAGGACGAACACGAGCACCAGCCAAACGACCAGAACGACGCAAGCCACCAGGAACTGCAACTGAGCACCACCAGACCGAACAGAACCAGGAGGACTAGCCTGAAAGACAACAGGACCAAAGGTACCCAAATCTAGGACACCACCAGTAGGACCAAAAAGTGGCAACTTAGGAGGAGCCAAGGAAGGGAACACCTCACTACCAGAACGCAATTGGCCCAAGGAGCAGACCAAACCCATTGGCTCACGATTGCGCCGAGACTGGAAGACCCGGGACAAATACCAAGAAGGCACCTGCAGCTCAGGACCAACAAGGATGTTCTGGCCTAGGAGCCAGACATGACTACGGGGAACATCCTTACCTAGGAGGTACTGCTGATCAGCACAGTGACCTCTCTTGTTGAGTCTGCACTGATCACAGTAGTGTGGCGACTGTTCCACATCTTACAAGCCACCATCGGGCATAAAGTTAAAGCAGATCCGTGACAAACAAAAGCAGCGCTGACAGACATTGGCTGGACGTTCAAAGCCATACGAAATCTCTGGATGCAAATTGGTAACATGACCAGTGATGCAAGTGCGTCCAATGCAGTCTCGAGCAAAGGCAGGTTGAGCAAGACCACAGTATGAGTAGTGGTGCTAAGGTGCGAAGTAAAGACGGACATTGGTTGATAAGGAAATAAGTGAAGGCAAGGACTAGAAGTAGATAAAATATGCAACTGGAAAAAGAAGCAAGGAAATGGTATACCCCTGCTCAATGTTTGTAAAAATTTTACAGCGGTGTTTCACATTAGGTCACTGCTAATACCTTCACCCCCGCAATATTAATGCATGTTTATTCTCCTACCCCCATGATTTTCCTCATAGCACCCAAGTACCCCCGATGTTTCTCATGACACCCAAGTACCCCCAAGGTTAAAAATCTGTAAACCCTATCACCTCCACCCCATTATACACTTCCCTGTTCCCATTATTATTATATTACTGTATTCATTGATTGTTGTAAATTATACTCCCTAGTATTAGAGGGGGAGAATGTTACCGACTAGGTAGCAGTTAGTCAAGGAACCTGGGCCCCGGCCTGGGTTGTACAAAGCTTATTAGGCCCAGCAGTATATAAAGGCTGGCTAGGCTGGGAAAATAAAAAGTAACCTCTTTTCTACTGAATCATTCACTGACCTGGATAAACATTCCCTATAGACAAGGCCCTAGTCTATAACAGTTCTACAGCTTTGCTTATATTCTGCATTTGAACCTATTCATAGATTCTGCTTTTCCTCTGCGGCCAACAATCATGACGCCGTATCCTAGCTCATCAACTGATCCAGCAGAAAAGCGATTCAACAAAGTCCATTCTTCAATGCGAATGGCTATTGAGCGAGCATTCGGTCGTCTTGTTTCCTAGTGGAGGTTCATGCGACATTACATGTACCTCATGGATCGTACGAACTTGACGCTGGTGATTTATGCCTGTTGCATACTCCATAATATCTGTATCGAGCAGCTCGATCTGCACTCTGACGAACTGTTTCCATTGAACACAGAAGAGGATGAACAAACTGGACGTATATCAATAATAGATACTGATAGACAGTCTAGTACTAGAGAAGACAGTACAAGGTTGTTTGAACAAGGGCGTCAGAAACGCGATGTGCTTAAAGAATCATTGTCCTCAAATCAATAAATGCAATACCTTATACATTGCTCCAGTATATCTGCTCTATATCTTTTAGATATTGACGTGAAGTGCTGCTTAGTACTAAAAGTTCGCATATAAAATAATTGGGCATCTTTTCGTAGCAGTTATTGTCTGTAATGTCATGACTAGTTTTCTTCTTCACATTCAGTAAAGTACAGTAAAGTGCTATATTAGAAGATATTAATCATCACACAGGGTATTCTAGATACACTTTTAACAATTCTAAATAAATGTCATATTATAATATAATAAAATTTATTGTTCTTCTTCATTATTATTACTAGGCTCTCCACTTCTATTTGTGTTTGTAGGGCTACCAAACAAATCTCTTAGTGTCTGCAAGTACATATCATGCCGGCGGTCTTCTGCTTCCTGCACCTCTCGCGAATGCCGGTCTTCTGCTTCCTCAAACTGCTGGAATGCCTCACTGATGCTGGCAATGAGGCGATCGGTTTGCCGATCGGCATTCTCAAGGACAAGCTCTTGAAATGCCGCGGTTCGTCGTTGCTGTATGGGCCGCTCGCTGACATCGTTATCGTTATCCCTTTCTCATCGGGTGCTATTGACAACGAGGCCATCAAGGGAATCCATCGTGGCAGGAGGTACAATTGCAGGGTCAGTTCCCACAATTCTGTCTACAGCGTCATAGTAGCACCATCGCTCTTGACCTGAAGGGCCGTTCTCACCACTGTTGCGAATCGTAGCCCTAACATCGCGATATTCATCGACTAGATCTTGCCATTTCTTCTGTAATGCTTCTTTACTTCGACCTAACGGATCAGCTGCAATATACTCAGAAAGTATTTCATTCCAGATGCGACCTTTGGCTTGTATTTCAATAACTGTCTTCAGTCTATCGTATCGAGTCCCTATAGCCGTAATGAGTGCATCAATGTGGGCCTCGTCCCATGTATGGCGTCGTGCAGAGGTAGGAATAGGCGTCTGCGAACTGGGTAGAGGCGATGTCAAATCACTATCAGCGGCCACTGATGCAGGCAATGCTTCTGGGGCTTGGGATTCCGGTGTCTGCATCGGTACTTCTGAATCTTGCTGTTGCTGTGTCTGCTGCTGTTGCTGAGGATCTGATGATGAACTGGCGGGTGTCTACATCAAGATTTGAAAGTTGTTGTGGTTGTTGCTGTTGTTTAGCATAATAGGTATCAGAAAAAATAGAGAGGCAATGGATGAAGTGGATTATAGAGAAATTTATTTATTAGCTTCTACTATATTCACAGCATATATATATATACAGTTGGGTACAAAGTTTCTTATGGCAATCGTGCTGTTATTTATGCAATACCTTGGGGTATGTACAGAAAAGGAAGTTTCTCGGCGCGGTGCGCCTTTATGTTCGATCCGAGTAGAGAGGATTTTGAATTCTTACAAAACTATTTTGGGTTCTCTGTTCGGAGCGAAATGAGAGCAACCATAGAGGCCTTTGAGAAGCCCTCTTTTGGAAGGAAAATAGAGAATGTATCTTCCATTACTACATTGGGGTATGCTATTCTCTGTTCAGAGCAAAATGAGAGCAACCTATAAGTATGAAAAAAATGAGAAAAAAGAAATGTGGTTGAATCGCCTCAGCAATTATATGAGTAGATAGCTAAGATGTGACTTAATTGGTAGGATTTTTAGTAGGGCACTGTAGGGTATTTAGTTGACGAGAAACCCCTTTGAGAAAATAATTCTATAAAAAAAGTCATCAGTTACTATGTAAAGTAATAATCTAGAGATGTGACTGCTAATTTTGAGCCTACCAATGACTGCACAGCATTTGACTTATATAACAGAATTCTTATCATAGCTCTGTAGTACATCTCATTAGCTAGTAATAGCTCTGAGAATAAAGTTTTCTTAAGAAAAAAAGCCTATATACTATGTGACTGCTATTGCCGTTTTTGTATGTTGTTGCCATATATGATAGATAAATGTACTGCAATTTACAGCACTGTAGCTACAATATTGCACCTTCTAGAAGTCTTAATCTACCTTAAGTAAAGCTACTTTTAGTGATTTTTACACATCCTCTTATGTAATGTCTAAAATAAGTAATGTGACTGTCTTCAGTAAAAACATATTTAGATGTATATACATCATCTGTATATGCCTACAAAGTTTTATAGTAATAGCATTAATAATAGATGAGCTATGATCTATAGAAGGAGAGATATTTAAGGATGGATTAAGTAAAAAACACCTATATACCAACGCAAAGTTTTGAAAAAACTAAAGCATATATATCTGCTATTGCTTAGTCCGGGAAAACGTTTAGCCGTTGGGAAAACCAATTACCCGTCTATTTCCTTTTTAGGAAGTCACGTGATCTAAGCCACTTACTAAGCCCCCAAGGGGTGACTGTAAGAATTTACCCGGTAGCTCAGTGGCTTACTAAGTGGCTTAGATCACGTGACTTCCTAAAAAGGAAATAGACGGGTAATTGGTTTTCCGACGGCTAAACGTTTTCCCGGACTAAGCAATAGCAGATATATATGCTTTAGTTTTTCAAAACTTTGCATTAGTGAAGTGGTCTAACGTACTAGCCTTATGTCCTACCTTTGGTAGAAGGCACGAGTTTAAATCCCCCTTTTGCCAAACTTTAGCGTAATTTTTTTTGAAAAACTGGTTTTTGCTATTATCCAACCAATTCTGATTATTTTCATATAAATAATATACCATCAGATGCAGCTTTTTTTCCTCGTTCCAATAAGTATAAAAGCATATATTTTTATATAGTAAGTCTATAGATGATCCCATTGCTTATACATTTATAGTATTATACTTTTTAGATATTTAAAGAGCATCTGTAGTAGTATAATGTAGAGTAAACTTAAAACTATTTGTTTTATTTGAAACGAATGAGTATCTTATAAGATATGAGTACTTAATGATAGAAAATATCAGTAGTTGATAGATAAGACTTTAGTGACAAAAATACTTTAATATACCCAAATTTAAATTGTGACTTTTATTTACGGAGCAAATCGGAGCTGAATTTGAATTATGTGACGTACATTTATAAGGTATAAATACAATATATTTTTGAGATTTCTTTTTATTCTTTGGTCTTCCCAGTTTCCCTACGAGAAAAAAACAAACTGGACCCTATACACTATTTACATCTACTACATCTACTCTTTCTCCTATCTATTTCTAAATACCTTTACTCAAACACTTATACACATACACAACTACATCTCTATATATAAAACAAACTATTACAAGGTATTCTTTTAAAGGAGAGTTAAGTATAAAAGTAAAGGTACTAACTAGTTTATAATAGTATGCCAATCTACAACAACATCCCTACACCTACTAAGCCTTACTTCTTAAGTACTGAGGCCTGTATTCAGTATCTATATGAAGAAGGCATTTTTTACCGTAGTATGAAGTGCCTTAACTATGACCGAGATATGCTGCTTTCTTGGTCTAGAGGAGCAAATGGCACTTCCCGATGTACTAGCTGTAATTTGGAGCGGACTGTTCGGACTCATTCCTTTTTTCAATACCGGAATGTACCTCTACATGTTGTCTTACAAATTGGTTTAGAATTGTTAATTATTTCTGGTGCTACTAATATTACTAATAAGACTAAACTAACTTGGGAGACAGTTCGCCAGATAAGATATGATTACTTTCAACTAATTATTGAAGATATGGAGAGTATATTCAAAGGTATATATATTTCTCTTTCTACTTTGATTATTGTATTTTATAACTAATAATAAGATAGCACCACGCAAAAAACCAAATATTCAGTAGTTTAAAAAAAGCTTTATAGTTAGATGTCAAGCTTTGGGGGTATGAGCTAGAAAAAACATCAGAGTACATATACTAAATGTAGTAGATATGCACCAGGTAGCTCATGTGCATCTACGACTGTACTCTCTACCGGTGTACTGATGCAGAGGGCATTCAACGAGTTGCTCTATGATTTTACAAATGTTACTCCTATGAAAACGGACAGTG